TTCTTCGCGCAAGGAGTTCGCATCACTCAACAACTACAGATAGCTGGTTTGTGACTGGTTGGAAACTGCATCCTGTTGTAGTGAGTCAGTGTTAGGAAGGAGTGAAATGGGTTGTCTGGAACGTAATAGGAGGTTGAAGGGGATCGTGATCGATGATGTCGTGAGGAATGATGCTGGTGTGTAGTTCGTCGCTGGCGGTGTGTGCGCCTGCCTCTGGTGTCGGCGGCGGCGATGGCGGCGGCCGTGTTCGCGGCGGCGGTGGTGATTGGGTGGCTGTGGTGGTGGTGGTGGTGGTGCCGAAGCGTTGTGGTGAGATGGAGGTGGATCAGTAGGTTGTGTGTTGTTGACTGTGTCAGAGTGAACTGATCCCGCTGGAGTGGAAGGTGGAGGAGTGTTAGGCGGATGGAGTGTGGCTGAGGATATTTGCGCGCTTGCGTCGGGTGCAGAGGGCGCTGTAGAGACAGGTGATTGTGGAACAGTGTGCGCAGCAGTGAGAGGCGAAGGTGATGCCGTAGAGTGAGAGGGTTCCACAGGCGCTGATGCTTTGGCCGGGTGGACATGGCCAGGTTGTACAACTGGTGGGAAGGCAGAAAACGGTTGCCAAACCCCTTGGTGGGGGTCCCATTGTGTTGCCGTTTGTTGTGGTACTTTGTTGTGGTACTGGCTGATGGGATGGTTGGGTAGCAGGAGTAGGTGTAGGTTGTGGCGTTGCTGTTGATGGAGAAGAAGGTGGCATGGGCTCGGGTGAAGGTAATGTGTATGGAAAAGGAAATGTGAGAGGAGGATGTGGTACATGTGGTAGTGGTGGCGGTTGTGCTTGAAAATGGGCTGTAGGTGGCCATGTTGGTTGAGGAAAATGCGGCATAGTGGTAGGCACGTGTGGAATCATGGAAGGCATATGTGGTGGTGGCTGTGGACGTGGATAGGTTGGTGCTATTGTAGGGGGTAGCTGATGTGTTGTATAAGGGTATGGCCATGGGAAGTGCATCGCGGCTGAATCGGCAGCAGCGGCAGGCCCGGTCAGCTGCAAAATGGCGCCAGCGCAGCGCTCCGGCAGCTGAGGAAAGTAAGAGGGAAAGTCCCAAAAATGATAGTGGAATGAAAAATTCTGCATGGAGTGAATCTACGTCATGAAAAGTGATTGGTGAAAATGTGATCGCAGGTCAACTGTACACGCTTGAAAATCAAAGGCAAGCTGCAAAACAGGATAGTCAGTGAGTTATTCAGTGAGTTGAAACCGTATAAGCCCGGCGGCTCGAAAGGCAGTTGATCCAGTGGTGAAAAGGAGTCAGTTAAGAAAATCCAAGGAAAGAAGGATCCGAAAATTCTGTTACACGATTTCCAGCATGGCTTCAGCGCCCCAGTGACGGGGATCACACCCAGCACCCAAGTGGGACGGCTGAGCGGTTCACACTCTGACATTGGTTTTCAGTTGGCTCAATTCCCAGGTGGAAAGAAGGTGAGAGAACGGCATGGTGGAGAGTCCGCAAATTTGTAGGTGTTTGAACAAGAGAGTTTCTCACTTGACTGCGGTGATATGCTGCAAAACGCGCGGCGGCTGCAAGTGGCTGAAGGAAAAAGGTTTGGGGGGAAGTATCGTGGAACCACCATGGAAACAAACAAAAGAGATTGGAATAGCGTGGGCAAAAGTTCAAAATAGTCGCAGGTACGCCAGACTGATCACGAGCCCCCTGCATGAGAACATGGGAAGCGGTAAAGACCCTCAGGTACAGGGTGTGACACACACACACACACACTTATGAAATTGCATACTGATTTGATGCGGTTTGCCACACGCCAACCTGGGTACCCAAATTCTGACCAGATCAAGTGAAAACCAAAGAAGCCTGGAGGTCCTCAAACGGAAGTGGGGCCAAAAGCTCAAGCCCATCCCGAGGCGACAAATGACGACGTAGCGTGCAGGTCTGCAGTACACAAGAAAACTTAAAAGTAAGGCAGGCTTAGGGGAAGATCATGCAAACACCATGGAAACAAGCCACAGCGGTGGAAGAGTGGAGTGTTGTCACAAAAGCAGGTACGTTTACACCCAGAGGTGGGGGGCGTCTTCGTTGGCCGGAGACCCCCCACCTGGCTCCGGCCCCGTGCTCCTTCAAAATTAAAGTCAAAGTCAAAGCGAAACAATCCGAAAGGATCCCTGTGACTCCAAGCATTACACACACACACACACACGCCCCCCTTGGAGGGGAGGCGATTCAAGGAAAGTTGACGCCAACGCAATGGTGAGGAGGGCCATTTTCACTAAGCTCCGGGCGCGTTCGACGTTCGTTCGCAGTGTTCGACGTTCAGCAGCCACCAGCTCCCCTGCTGAGAAAGGAAAACAAAGCAAATCCATCAGGATCCCTGTGACCCCAAGGGTTACACACACGCCTCCCCGAGGGGAGGCGAACTAAGGTTCTTTTGAACTAGGCTCCGGACGGCTCAAGAGGGAGGGGTGAGGATGGTTGGTGCAGTTGCCAGCTGCACAGTGAAAGGCCCAGGCACCCCTGCAAGCGGTTGTGTGGACCCCGGCATAGGAAAGGGAAAGGAAAAGGTTGTAGGCATGTTTGCAGTGTGTGGCTTGGTGTAGGCGGCGAGGCCTGTAGGAGAGAGCGGCATAGCGGCGGGAGGCGCAGGGAGAGGAAGAACAAGAAAAGGTATGAAGTTCCCCCCGGGCGTGAACTGGGGTGAGGATGGTTGGTGCGATTGCCAGCTGCACAGTGAAAGGCCCAGGCGCCCCTGCACGCTGTTATCCGGTAGGGTGTAGACCCCGGCGTACGGAAGGGAAAGGAACAGGTTGTAGGCATGTTTGCAGTGTGTGGCTTGGTGTAGGCGGGAAGGGAGGCGCAGGGAGAGGAGGAGGAGGAATCAACCCTCTAAGGACCCGACAGGTTCCAATAAGCCTTGAATGACTTTGGCCGCTGCGGCCACGTACGCCGTGCCAAAATGGCTGGCTGCTCTGACCGCTATGGTCACCTAAAGGCATGCGCGGAGGCGGCCAGCTTGGAATTCAATAATTCGTCAGGTCTTGGCAAGTAACTTTGGCTTAAGCCCCCTACGCTCGCTGCGAGCTGCTCTGTATCCGGGCAGGGGATACATTCGACAAACCCCCGCTCGATGGGTCCACACGAGGCACTCTGCGGGCTCACCCTGGGCTGGCACGAGGCCAGACACACTTATGAAACTGCATACTGATTTGATGCGGTTTGCCACACGCCAGCCTGGGCACCCAAATCCTGACCAGATCAAGTGAAAGCCAGAGAAGCCTGGAGGTCCTCAAACGGAAGTGGGGCCAAAAGCTCAAGCCGACCCCGAGGCGACAAATGACGACGTAGCGTGCAGGTCTGCAGTACACAAGAAAACTTAAAATTAAGGCAGGCTTAGGGGAAGATCATGCAAACACCATGGAAACAAGCCACAGCGGTGGAAGAGTGGAGTGTTGTCACCCCCCACCTGGCTCTGGCCCCCTGCTCCTTCAAAAGCGAAACAATCCGAAAGGATCCTTGTGACTCCAAGGGGTACACACACACGTACACAATCATACACGTACACTGACAAAAGCTCCGCCGCCAGTGGAGTCAATTTGGGAGATCGTTAGATCCGGCTGAAAAAATACATTGTATCAACAATGAAGGCTATTAAATTGGAGGCCATTGCTACTAGGTTGGCACACTGCAGTGTACTCAGATACAGTTCCGAGCTGGAGGACTTTCGTGAAGAAGCTGAAGAACCCATGACCTCAGGTTTTGCAGGCAACGCAATGGCAGTATGTGATGAGGCTTCGCCGAGCTCCCCACCCAAAGTTGAGCAAGATTGCGGGCACATAGTGCATCTATGCAGTTTGGGGAGCGCCGAAACACTTCATCTGCAGAAGCAAGTGAAGACAAAGAAGAAAGAGAAGATAGAGAAGGAGCGGCGTGTGTACCAGTGGCTATGGCGCAAGAACTTGAGGTCAGATCGTGCTATCACAGGACAAGAGTTCCTGGAGCAGCTGGCGAAGGCATGTCTATGGAAACGATTGGAAACGAACATGCGTGCAAGGAGATGGTGGATGAGTGGATGAGAAGGACCAGAAAGCTAATGACGTCAACGCCACACTAAATGTCCTGCCCACCATTCAACGAGACCCAGATTTGCCATCCACAGCGCCTCGCAGCGTGTTGCCCTGGGTAGTTGAGGACTGCAAGGACTGAACAAAAGTTCACTTGCGCTTTGACAACCCCCTTACCTGACCCCCAAAATCCCAATTCCTTCAGGTTATGTAGTGGCCAGCATCAAATGTCACGGTGGGAGGGGTTGAGGTGAGTCTCAAGGGCTGAATAGTCGATTAGATGATGGACAAATCATTCAATCTGGTCAGCTAAGCATCGAACCCCCAGTTGGGGTCAGTTGTTTATTCTGGTCGACCAAGCTCACTGTTTCTAAGTCAACATTCATATTTTTCCAAGCGTTTTAGTCGTTCACAGAAGTCAGGCACTGATATGGGCCTGTGATCGGGCCCTGAAAGAAAACAGCTTGCTGTGTGCTGTTGGGGTTCTTGCTTCGGGAAAAGAGGTTGGCCAACGTTTGGCGCCAGTGAAATCTGTATTGTCCTGTTGTTCTCCTATGATGTTCGGGGTGTTGTCCTTCTGTGTTTGCACCTGTCCATGCTTTGTCCGGGCCTTGCGTTTTGTGTCCCATGGTGCTCCTATACCCTTTGTTTTCTTTTTTTGTTCTGGGCGCCAATGAGACCTTACCGAATTACTGTATTTGCAATGAAAAATCATCAATCTTTGGAATCTTTTGTTAGAATCTGTAGTGAATAACGTTCCTGAAAGTCAGTTTGAATGGATCTTTAACTTCGCAGATATGGCAGCTTTCCAAACTGACAGTGTGTATGGTAAAAAAAGAAGAGATGAAAGCAGAAGGCCTTCTAAGAGGCTCTATAAATGGAACCCTTATGATTCTTTCTTTGCCTTCTCTGTCGAACACCAAAGACAATTGTGCCGTGTAACACCATTGAGGCCCGAGCACAGGAGGCCAAGAGAAAAACCAAGAGGCTTTGCGATGCGGTGATAGAGAGCGGTAGCGATGGTCGTCCTTGATGCGGTATGGTAGTTAGTTGTAGTTTGTTCCTCGCGTTTACGCTATCGTGCTGACACCCTCAATCGCTAACAGCAGGTACGGTGCAGTAGTTTCTTGACTCTTGCGATTCTATGATGATTGGCTCTTGATGAAGGAATTGCGGGTGCAATGAACAATCTTTACAAGTCCGCTTGAAGTCCTGATGCAGTTGGGTTTTCCGGTGGGAAAGTCTGTGGTTTTTGGAATCTTGTGGTTGAAAGGATACATTATCTGGCATACAGCACCATAACTACACTCATTGGGTATGTACGTGACACATTCTTAATTGAGGAACCATTTCGTTGTTGTCCCCACTTTGGCTAGAATCAGTGAGCAACATTTCTTCAAAGGGCTTAGCTCGGTGCATGACTTTATTGGCAGGTGTTTGCAACACGTGATGGAAGAAGTCTTGGAGGTAGAGCAGGTGCGACACCTCTATTTTATTGCCGTGAAAGTTGCTGCATAATGACACAGACCAGCACCATGCTCAATATGCCATGCTTTGCTGTGTTCAATGCTCTGTCTGTAGATTGAGCCTCCGGCAAAGCGGCTCCGTGCAGATCTCAGAACAACACGTCACACGACGTGTGCACTTTGATTTGCTGTAGAACTCTCACTGACTTCAGGCCTCCTGAAGAGAGGTCTTGATGGAAGACGTTTTCAACCGGAAGGCCGGTCAATCATATGCAACTCAGCCTCTCAATATATAGTCCTTTCATTTGCCAACGTGTCAGTCGTTATCATCGCTTTTCTGTTTCCCTTAATTGGCGATAGTCACGAGACATAATCAAGAGCCATCGTGTTTGCCAAACTCAGGTTGTTTTGCCACCTTCGCTTTGGTGTGGATTTTTCGGCTTTGTGCTAGGTTCAGATTCAGATGTGTGGTCAGCAAGAGCCTCATCTATTGTACAGGATTCTTTGACGCGTCGATGAGGACTCACGCTGCAAGATGTTAACAATTAACATCAATTAACAATGGTTTGATGTTTTGAACCAGCTTGAACTGTGGAATGTTGAGTGCACACGTTTGCAATGTTTGCACAGGGCAAAGATTAGATTGGATTTGTCGAATATTGAGTTTCTTTTAAGTAGGTGGCAAACCCCATCGAGTCGTTTTTGTGGCAATGAAAGCTGTGATCCTCAGGTCAGCGACTCTGATCAGGAGTTCATTCCTTCAGAATCCGAGGCACATGACTTGTTCACATGTGTTTCGTCGTTTCACTATCATTAGGTTTTGGACCTGGAAAAAGAACCTGATTTGAGCACGGTCACTTGTTGCAGTGACAGTATTCATGTTTCTGGCCAGAAAAGTCGGAGGCATGCCCAGGCCTTTACTTTGTCCTGCCTTTCTCGGAATAGTCTTGGATGTTGAGGTTTATGGACACGAGGAGTTCTGAACCCGGTTGCTGCTTATTGGTCCCTTTTGAGTTAGCTTTTGTGGCCAGCTCGGTCCTTGTGCAGGGAGAAGAGTCGTGGACTCCGAGCTGCAACCTCGATTCAGCGACAGAGAGTTGCGAGTGTTGATGAGAGAGTGGGTCATTTCACAGAATGGGAAACAGGTCCTCCTGCACAACGCCGCCAGAAGACCTTTGCCAGCATTGCCTGGCAAGATTCCAGGCAATATGGGGCAAGAAATGGCAAGACTTGTAAAGAATCATGAGTTGCAAGGCAGCCGTTGCTTTTGCGAGTCAGTCATTCTAGTGGTGAAGGCGGTCTTCACAAATCATTTTCGCACTCAAGCAGTAGTACGCGCGGGAGAGCTTATGTGGTGTATTTGCAGGCTTGCTGTTCCCAGCGATGCGAGCACGGGTATCAGCTGCTCGGCACTGCTTGTCGAACCTCAATAGTTGACAACCTTTGAGCTGCCTTTGGGACGATTCACTGATTTTCTCAAACTGCAAATGCAGTGGAAGGTTAGTTGAGCAGATGACAGGGATTTTCAATTAGCCTGAAGTCTAATTGGCTTAGACTCCATCCTGTGTCCTGGTGCTCTAATCTCTCTTTCCTTGACACTTGATACACGGAAGTGAATGGTGGTGGGACCACTATACAAAGACAAATAATCGGACAAGATGATGCCCGAGCAGCGATAAATCTGAATACATGTTAGGCTAGGACCACTAAGGTTTCTTCACATTATTCTTCAAATTGGTTGCTGTTCCTTTTTGAAAGAAGAGTATTCACAGCAAGACAGCACAACAGCTGCCGGAGCGTTCGTTTTTCCCAACCTTCGAAAGCAAGATTTGCGCCGCAGTCTCGAGGCCAAGAGGGCTTGACTGCCTTTTTGTTTTCGGCCGATTCGGAAAGTAAATTTGGAGCAGAATGCAGTGTTGCGGTGACTTTCGACGGTGTAGGTAGCGGAAGTAGCGCAAGCAGCGGGAGCAGTTCGCGTTTCCCAGAGACTTGGTTTGAGCTGGGTGGGTTCGGTAGCAATGGCATTCCTTCAGCGTCTTGCGGCTGTCCTGCAGGGCGTGGGAGTTACTGTAACTAGCGCTTCTATCAGCAAACCGTCAACAGCCATGAACAGGTGGTTTCTTTGCCTGCGGTGGACATCCGTTTTCTATCATTAGACTCATTAGACGGACACAGCTTTGGTGCTAAGGATACTGGCTGGGCCGATGCAATGTTTCAACATTTTAGACAGAGACTCGGCTGCGGAATTGGTAGGGCCCCAGAGAAGGGTGTTTCTTCGTGGTGATCAGTTCTGTTGCAGCAGCCTGGACCAGACTTCTAGCCCAATGTAGCTGTTGAATGGGCAGATCAACAACAGAGCATGTTTGAGATAGTCTTATATAAGACTTAAGACAGTTGGCGCTCCTTACTAACGATGCTTCACCACTTTCCAAATCCTTTGCATGAAGGACAGGTGCTTCAATCCTTTTTGGCAAGCGCTTTTATGTTCACCACTGAGGCCTCTTGAAGAGGCTGCAAAGACAGGACACGGATTTGGTGTTCTGTGGTTTTCTGGTAACAGTTGTAATCACCAGCCGAATAGTCCCTTGTGCGCAGGGCTCGGCTCCCGAGCGATAAAGCTTGGGACGGACTGCTCTGGCGCTGAGGCTATGAACTGCCCAGAGTTGGATTCGGGCATTTTCCGTCTTCAACAACATCAGAACGACAGCAAGAGGCCATTGCTGTCTTGCTTTTCAGGCACCATGGTTTGCGCTGAAGGCCATTTGCAGCGAGCTAGTCGGAACCCCAGGCACCTTGCACTTGAGGAAGCATGCTTTCATTCACCTGTTTGTTGGCCTCCAGAGCGAACAGATGATACACGGTTCTGAAAAGTAAGTTTTTCTAGGAATGACAGACACTTTAGGGAGCGAAACTACATCTTCGCATCCTTCTTTGCACCACGCAATACTTCATCTCAGCTCATTCTATCTCAACGATTGAATGACTTGCAAGTAGGTTTTTGACCCTTCGAAGAATCAAGTCCCTTCGCCGAATCGATATTTCCAGACAGTTGGAAGGGTTTGCATGTGGCCAAGTCCCCCAAAACGATCCTCGAGGAGGACCGCTGCCTCACAGGCCTCACAGCTTGCCGTGAACCTGAAGGTGCAGCATCAGTTTGCTCGAGACTTAGCTCCACGAGCTCAAGCGATAGAAAAGACATCCGACCTGTGCAATGCTACGAGGACGGCTTTCCCGACATCTTTGCTGCATAAGATCATAAATCATGCCGCTTTCTTTTGAAACATTAGATTTGCCAGTGTGTCTTGTCGAATCCTCAGTCAAATGTATAATATACATTTGGTCATATGGTGGATTGTGGGTGCAGAGGGAGTTCGAATCGATCAGTTGTGGACAGACGAAGCATAACCGCATCGCCAGCCAACTTCACAGGCATGTGACATCCTGCCGATCTCCCAACATTTCATCGTCGGGAGCCGCAGTTGTGCTGGCAACGAAGAAGTTGGGACCCAAAGAAGTGGTCCTTGTCCTAAAAACCTGAGGGCCAGGTCAGGTACATGCAGCATCGCTGGTTGAGTTCAAGCAATTGGTACTTTCTGGACAAGCAACAAAGGAATTGCAGTTTCTGCAGCTGCAGAATTAAAGTATATATATATATATACTTTCAATTGTATCATGTGTTATGGCATATGCCTTTGACCCGTTGTGTGTACTTGTCACTTGTCTTTGGATTTGGTGTGGTCAGGTTCAGAACTCCAAGCCCATGTTTCTGTTTGAAGACTTGCGGGAAAGAACGGACGTGGGCTATTGTTGGACCCTTAGCCTTAGTGGGCAACAGACGTGTCCTAGATTCTGTTGGTTTGCTGCCAAAGTTGGTGATCCATCTGGCACATTCTGCCTACCAGCTTCGCCCCCCTAGGTTTGCAGTCTGAGATGATGATGCCAGTGCCTAGCCACCTGGACCTCTATGTTGCTGGCTTTCCTTGCAAGGAGCTATGATTTTCAATGACAAGCTTTCCGCTTCTGATATCCATGTCAACCTGCGTCATTGAAGTCACTGTCAATCTTACTGTACATACAGGACAGTGACTGTTAGTGACTGTTCTACAGGACAGTGTCCGCCCGCCCTTCTTCGCAGGACTTTTCCATCTTGAACTCCAAGCGTCCGTGCTTGCAAGGTCCACATGCAGCGACCTTTCATGGTGTAGCGCGGCTTCCCAGCGGTTTGGAGGAGAGTAGACTTCACGGCTTGAAGGTGTTCGTGTACCATGATCGAAGTCCAGAAAACTTGAGCAATGGCAAGCAAGTAAGTAGACTCTACTCGGAAAGGCTGCAGCTCTATATACTCGGAAAGTAATTATGAACTGCATATTTGCTCTTTTGCATTGGTCCCTTGGTGCGATCAGCTCAATCTTTCTTTTTTAAATTCACACTTGCATGTAGCTTGCGGATGCAAGTTTTATGTTCACTGAAGTTCACAAAATGTCCCACCGGGACATTTTGGCTCAAGTTGGTGGCAATCATCCACAGGATTGCACCTGAACTTTGGAAGAAAACTCCCCAGTACATCGGTTTTTTTTAGTTCAACACGACGCAATGGCGCACCCGATGGAAGCGGAGTATGTCATGATTGAGTCTGTTCGTGATGCCCAAGATGTTGAGGATGCGGCTACGGTCAGTAGCCCGGGCATTGAGAGCTTGGACCAGGCAGCGGACGCTGCGTCTGCAGCCCTCCGTCATGCGGAGGCGGAAGGAGCGAGAGGCCTCGCCATTTTTTGGACAGCCCGTTTTGGCTTCTGAGCTGGACGCTCAGGCGCAGATTCGAGAGTTGGAGCGCCACCTGGAAGCACTCAAGGTCCAGATCGCGGAGCGCGAAGACGCGGACATGGGCGTGGACCTCCTGGGGTTAGAGGACCCTGCTGATGGCGGCGCTGGCCCACCCCCCTCTGCTCCTGGTGCCTCTGGCCCAGCGGCGGGGGGGGGCACCTGCAGCAGCGGCGGCACCGACCACGAGCCCTACTACACCATCGGCGGCGGCGGCCCAGCCTACACTTCTGACAACCCTGGCGGAACCACCGCTGGCCTGGCCTGTAGCGGTGGAGCCACGACCAGCTGCCCCCGCTGAACAGGTGGAGGAGGACACCACTGAGCGCGCGGGATTAGGTTTCACGCCCCCTGCACCGGCAGGGTATTTTAGTGATCCGGTAGATGCCATGGCGTCGGCTTCCTCGCCTTCTACGCCCCCGGCAAAGGCCCAGGCACCAGAGCCTCCACGGCCGAGCAAGAGACCGGCTCCGCAGCCCATGGAGGAGCCCACATCCAAGACACCTACCTTGCCGGGTTTCACAAGGGCCTCTGGAGCTACCCTGGGCGCGGTCCCCATGCCAATCAGGTTCATCCCAGTGCGGGAACCCGAGAACCACGTCCGGTTTGCCATGTTCCCGGACTCCTTTCCGGCCATTCCGGGACACTTGGCGGGGCTCCTCACCTCGTGCACAGAGAAGGAGATGGTCCAGCTCTTTGACCAGTTCACGGGCTACCCCCTCTCCACGCCGGTGGTCACTCGCATCATCGAGCAATACATCCCCCTGCGGGCTCTGGCCATGCAGGAGAAGGTCTGGACACAGAGGTACCAGAAGACCACCGACAAGTCCGGCCTGACAGACCAGCGGGGCCTCCACCTGCCTGCAGGTGACATGCCCTTCCACTCCATGTGTGGCAAATGCATGACGCCCTGGCCTGACAATGCCTCCAGGTGCTGGACCTGCAAGCGCGACCAAGCTACTCTACGAGGCGGGCAGGTCTGGCGACGCGCTGCTCCTGTCCGGTCTACCCCAGGCGCCCCTGGCCCTGAGGCGGCAACTTGCACTGAGGAAGAGCGGACCTTTGCGGACGAGGTCCCCTCCGTCTGCAGGGTCCACATTCGGCAGGAGATCCTGTCGGCTGACTCCGAGGAGGATGCTGCGGAGACCACGGAGGCCCATCGCAGAAGGCTGGATGAGCAACAACCTTCACAGTCCTTCCAGATCTTCCACCCGGAGGCGGCCAAGGCCCTTCGCATTCAATCGGAGGCCCTTCAGGGCCTCTCAGCAGCCGACCTCAAGGCGGAGCGCGCCCAATCCGAGGAGGCCGAACGGGAGGAGAAGGCGGACCATGTGGCCCAGTAGGCCACGGTCTTGGCACCCATCCAGGAGGGCATGCAGTCGGTCCCGGACAGCCCAACCTCATGGACTTCAAAGCTGCCCTGAAGAAGTGGAGAATAAAAAGATCCAAGACCAGGGCACGGCCTTCATGGAAAAGTTCGCCCTCAACCCTGTGGAGCTCTCGGCCTGGCCGGATGACCTCAAACGGAAGCTGGAAAGGGGCCTCTTTTGTCCGACGGCCTCCCTGGACTGGCACCAGGTCCCGGACCCCTCGGACATGTTGCAGCACTACCTCCCGGCCATGAGGCACGGTGGCCACCGCGGCATCTGGGGAGGCTTCAACTCCTGGTGCCATTGGCCCAGCGGTGACCGGCCCTGGCCTGGCGACCCTCAATGAGATCGACGAGGAGGCGAGGAAGCTGGCCATGTTGCTTTGGGCTTTGAAGGTGCACCGTGGTGAACTCCGCATGTTTGGCGGGGTCTGGCGCCGGGCGCCTGAGTTTAGTCCGCCGCTCCCGGACTGGGCACAGCCAAAACCTGGGGCACTCTCAGCCAAGGAGGTGGACCGATACCGGGCATTGGAGAGGCGGACTCACCCAAGTTCCTTCGGCTCGGACATGGTGGAGCCCTTCCACTACACAGATCAGGAGGTGGAAGCACACAGGCAGGAAGGGACTCGGCCGCCACTGGACCCCAATCCTTTCGATTTGGTGGGCCCATGACACCGCCAAGGATGAGAAGTGGCGACGGGAGAGCCGCACGTGGGACCTGAAGTCCCTCATCCACATCTACTCGATGCGGTACACCTTCAAGTACATCTACAGCCTATATGGTGCAGTCTCCCTTTGGCCATTGAAGCCAAGCAGCGAGGCAAAGATGCTCCGGGATCCGCCACAAAGACCCGGAACCTGAGGCGCTCTGAGGCCCGTAAGGAGGCCAGCTCATTTCTTGCTGCCCTGGGCCTGGACAAGCCCGCGGACAAGGACGAATGGCGCACGGTGCTCCGCGAGATGGGCTCCTTCCTGGCAACCAAGGTCTTCCTGACCAACTGCCCCGCGCCAGTGATGGAGATGCCCGTGGCCCCGGTGCACAACAGCAAAGAGGCCATGCGCTTCAGGGCAATCTGCGATGAGCGGATCACCATCCCCGCTGGACGCCTTGAAGCAGTTCCCGGAAGTGCACTCGAAACTGGTGGGCCAACTCCCACAGTCGGCCATGGTAGATGTCAAGGTCAACTGGCGCTGCAATGTCGCCCACACCTGGGCGGCTGAGGTCCCGGCCTCGGAGGCCTACTCCCTCTATGCCAAGCTGCGCTACTCCCATGATACCATTCTGGCACTGGGGTGCACCCCACCCCCAGGTGCCTCTGGCCCTGAGGGGGGCCCTGCCCCCATCCAGCGCGACAATTCCAGGGAGCGGGTGGCAAACAACATGGATGTGGGCATTCAGCAGCTGGACCATGGCAGCGAGACCCTGCCTCCTCCGGCGGCCCCGGCCAATGTGACTCCTCGTTACCCGCGCCTCACAGCCAGCAATGTCACCTCCATTGTGGGCAAAGACTGGCGCAAGAAGCACTACCCGGGCGCCAGCAAGGACCGCCACTTCTTTTGGGGCGAGGCCGAGTGCGGCCTGATCCTTCCCAGCATCTGGGAGGTCGTCACCAAGGAGAAGGGAGGGCTACATGTGCAGATATTGCCAGGGCTTTTGGAAGGCCTCCAGGGGAGGCAGCCGCTTCTTGCAGATCACCGGTGAACAGCGGGGATCCCTGGCCTCCCTCCAGCTGGTGCTGGACGAGCCACCTGAGGCCTTCTACAACAAGTGGATCAAGGAACGCATGGAGTTCTACAAGCGGGTGGAGCCCTGCGCTGCCCCCAGGGATGAGCGCCTGGAGCTGGCGGGCAAGATGAACCATCGCCTGCGGTTCAGCGCCAGCAACAACCTTGGGGCAGTGTCCGATGCTATCTGGCAGGTCATCCTGAGCAACGAAGAGATGAAGGGCATCCGGGCGATCCAGCAAGTGGCCCAGAAGGTCACAGCAGCGGCCTGAGGGGCTGCCAAGTGAGCGAGGGTGCCGCGGGTGACTCGGCTTAGACCGTTTTGTCTCACCCCATTTTGCATCCATTTTGAGCTCTCTGCACATCCGTGCCTGGACGCCGTAAGTGTCCTCCCCCAGGTCCAGGTGCCCATTGGCCCTGAACCGGGGGGAGCGCCCGGTGGTGGCCATGGTGCGGCGCCTAGACGACCGACTCGTTGCGCAAAAAGAGACCCGTTTTGGAGCCTTGCTTTACCATGCATGTCGAGCTGTTGTGTGAGGACTGTCATGTACTCGGAATTTGAGTCTGCTAGGAGTACTTCTCACCTCCCCCTCTTTCCTTCCCCTCGGACTACCGGGATTTTGCACCCCCTTGCTTCGGTGAATTTAGGCTTCTTTGGGGAAGCCGGCTCGTTTTGGCGGTCTCGTGACGCCATGAATTTTACTAGTGAGGCTTTCCTGAATCGCACACCCTACTGTCGTGCTTGGGACTCGCTGCCCCGCCATATTTTTGATACCTTGGTGGATGAGGGATTTGCCCCCCGCCAAACTGATGGCGAGTGGCTTGCTTGCGGGTGGGCAACCCGGACGAGTCCCTGGAACTTGGGGGCCAACCTGCGGCGGCCTTCAGGCCTCTGGTGTGGGGCTACGACCCTGATGATCCGGATATTCACATGGTCGCGGAGGACTACCTGATCGGCGGCCGCAGCTCGCCTCCCCCAACCAGTGGACCAGGATGACTTGGAGAAGATCAGATCCACCTTGTGGGACCTGCTGATCAAGGTCACTCAGGGGCCCATGTCCTCGACTTACGGCCCGCTCCAGTACACTTACGATCGGCGAGACATGCAGACATGGCACAACCGTAAGAGCCCTCCTCCCTTGCTCCAACCGAGGCACTGGCGCCCAGGACAAGTGGCCACGCTGGAACCTACTACTCAGAAACCTCTGGAGCTCCATCTACGCAGCCGACGGGCAGAACGCCTCACTGCCCATTTTGCACCCTATGCAGAACACCTCCCAAACCTGGAGGCTGTCACGCGGGACTCCGACTTCCGCATGGAGTTGAAGCACCTCCTGGGCGATGCCAGGTTCCGCTCCATCAGGCAACACTGCTTGGTCTACGAAAACCTCCGCAAACGGGGCTTTGTGGCGATTCCATGGAGGGAGTCGGACGTGCGGGCCCTGCTGAACAAGTTGCAGGCAGATGAGATCTCACCCTACAAACTCCAACAGATATGGCAGACACTGAACTGGTTGTCCAAGATCTTTGGCCTCCTTAAGGTGGACGAACACCAGCGCCTTGTCACCAAGAAGAAGGCCCTGGAGGAGGAGCTCGCTCCCACGGTGGTTCGTCCCCAGAAGAAAGCTGCAGTCCCTTCACGGGAAGTGATCTGGGCACTGGAGGAAGGAGCGGCGCTTGGGGGACCCCCCTGGTGCCCCTGACCCAGCGACCCCGGCGCCTGCGGCCCCTCGCCGGGAGCGCCATGAGCAGCTGGACGCGTTCATCCTGGGCTTTGCCGATTCCAGGTTGGCTGCAGTGCTCGCTTCGATGACCTACAGCATGTCCGCCCGGAGGAACTCCGGACCACCTCCAACACCATTGAACTTCAGGCCTGGCAGACTAAGGTGGCCCGTGCAGCCCGTATCCGAACGAAACCAGTTCCGCTGATATGCCCGAAGTACAGCTTCTCTGGAGCACCTTGGTACCTTCAGTTTGTTTCCACGGTGCGGGAGCTCCCAATGCTCAAGGCCTTTGAGGGCATGGACTATCTCCTCCCCACGATCAGTAAAGACTTTGCAGGACTGATCCCGCGCCCCCCGGGAGGTGACCGAACCCTGCGTTGGCTCAAAGATGCCCTCCGACGTCGGGGGGTGGCCCAGGAACACGTCACGCCCCTCACCTGGCACTCCTTCCGGGTCTTCATTCCGGACTGTGCCTTCCAACTTGGGGTTCCCCGTTCCGAACGGCAGTACCTGGGGAACTGGATGACTGAGTCGACAGCCGACGTCTATAACCGGGAGAAGAGAAATGTCGTCACTGCCATCTGGACCAAGGTGGCGGACAAGGTGAACTCTCTCAAGATGACACTGGGCCGGGAGCGCAGGGAGGACCTTAACCATGGGGACTGGGATGACCCAGTGACGGAGGTGGTGGACGCAGACGAGCGGCCCCCGGGCTCACCGCCGCAGTCCACACGACGCTCCATGGCTGACGCCCCGCCTTTGGACGCGGGTTCCCCACAGCCGGACCAGGTCACCCCTGGCACCACTGGTTCGTGGGATGTTGTGGAAGGTGAAGACAATGGTTTGGGTCACTTCCTTGCCCAGCCCAGCGACCAGGATGACTCCTACCAGTTGGCGCCCCAGAAGCACCCAGGTGACTGTGCTGACACCAGGGGAGTATTGGGCCAACCCCACGGGCTATGGCAAGTGCGCACGGTGCTTTGCCAAGGGTGACCTCCCCAAATCGTGGTTCGTGAGCCGCCATGGCACAGTGGAAGGGAAGGACATCCCTGACCTCGAGGTAGACACGGGGAGCTCGGCCACATCGGGCTCGGAGACGACACCCAGTCGGAAGCTGATGCCGTGCCACTGCCGAAGGTGCTCCCGGTTGAATCCATTTGAGGCATTCCGCTTTCGGCTGCCTCTACGTCCTGACCCACGGCCAGGCGCCCCTTGGCCCTGGAATCACACCTCGGCCTGCCTGCATCCTTCGGAAATGGCGGGTGTGCCAGGCAGACCTCCGGACTGGGCCTTGCCCCCCTGGCGAAGTCCAGGGCAGTTTGAAATGGACCAAGTGATACAGGGTCTGGGGGAGGACCCCAGCATCAACCAAAGCGCATTGGAAAAAGCCTGCGCGCAGCTTTTTGCGCTCTTGGGATCTTTTTGACTTCTGGGTACATATTCACACTTGCATGTAGCTTGCGGATGCAAGTTTTATGTTCACTGAAGTTCACAAAATGTCCCACCAGGACATTTTGGCTCAAGTTGGTGGCAATCATCCACAGGATTGCGCCTGAACTTTGGAAGAAAACCCACCCAACCCGCCCATGATGGCAGCACCGCCTGGCGGTGCAGGTGGTGGAGGGGGGGCAGGTGGCCCCCCCCAGCGGAACCAGTCAAACCCCCCGGAGGCACCTGATGCCCTCCAACCACATCTTGACCTCTTGACGAAACCGCTTGCTCTCATCCTGGTTGCCAAACAAATCCCCTGGGTGGTTCAGGCGAAACTGGCCCAGGAGGGCTATGTGACGGTGGAGGACTTGGGGGACCGTTGGAACACCCCGGAGGATGCACGGGCCCAAATCCCCAGGATCTGGAGTTCCAGGAGGGGGAGAACAACTTCACCCTGCCCATCTCAGACGATCTCTCGATCCACGATCCCTTGATGCGCCTTCAGGTGGCCTTCAAGACCAGACCACTACGTGACGGGGGAGGCAAACCATCCTGGGGCCGGATGGCCGCATGAGCCCGACCTGCCTCCACATTGGCCCGCGTAGGAGCCAAGATCCTGGCACTGACCACTCCATTCACCGACCAAGTCATGTGGTCGATTACGCGCGGGTCCAAACAACACCCATATCCGGACCCACTGCTGGAGGATATCAGGCAGGTCCTCCACCCCGGCCACCAACATACTACACCAGACGGGCAACCCTTCTGCCTGGAGCTGATCTCGCAGCTCGCAAACACAGCTGGGGACCCAGACTGGCAGTACCCTCAGATCCTCGCTACAGGCGTTTTTGTGGGGGTCTCGGATCCCACCCTCCCTTCACCGGCCTCTCAAGAGTGAACTTGCGGGAGAAGACCCAGTGGAAGCTCCACTGGATGACCCCAAGGGACACCACAATTACCCATCGGCAGCAGACTTCTCCAGAGAGATTCGGGCCACCTTCGCAGAGGAAGTCGCAATGGGCATGACGGTTGGCCCGCTGTCTCAACAACAAGCGGCTGAACTCTGTGGATGTGACCCGACAGAGCTCTGCCCAGGCCCCCTGGCGGGAATTGATGAGGGGGATAAGGTCCGCACCATCTACGATGGATCGGTCGGTGGAGCGAATGCCAAGATCCAACAAAACACTAAGGAGCGGACCACAGCGCCCACAGTTCTGGACTGTGTCCACGCAATCCACTGGCTCCAGGCCGCCAGACATACCGAGGCCTCCTAGCCCATGGCCCTGAGCGGGCAGAGGGCCTGGACGACCCAACCCCAGCCTGGGATTGGCCCACCGAGGACAGCCAATGGATTTTGGTGAAGGCTGATGTAACTAAGGCCCACCGACGAATCAAGGTCCTGCCCCAGGACTGGCGCTTCCAGGTAGCACAGTTAGACAACGAATGGTGGGTCAACAAAGTGGGCACCTATGGCATGGCAAGTGCGCAGCTCTACTGGGGCAGAACGGCGGCCTTGCTCCTACGGATCCTTTATTACCTTTTCCCCCAGATCGACTGGGGCTTTGTCTTCGTCGATGATTTCTGTTGGCTCCTTCGCCTGCCCACGGGACCGCAATTCACCGCGGCTCTCTTGGGCACACTGGTGGGTTTGGGAACGCCCCTTAGCTGGAAGAAGACTCATTTGGCAGAGATCAACACCTGGCTTGGGTTCATGATCCACCCAACCCACCAACCACTCCTGAAGGAGCTTTTCACGCACCCCTTTAAAGCAGTACTCACCCTTCCTGCCAAAGTCGCCTTGGTGGGGATGCAGCGATGCTAGTGCATCGAGGACAGGCGAAGCCTATGTTGGGGGCTGGTGCTCGGCCTCCCCAAACCCCACCAAGGACAAGGTCCTATGGTTCCACTGTGCCATCACAGCAGACGCCCATCCGTGGGCATTCAAGGATGGCAACCCTCAGAAACGCATTGCTGCCCTGGAACTCCTGGGCACGCTACTTCTTTGCAAGCACCTGCTTCCCCAACAGGGCCAACTGCCGGGAAGAGTTCGCCTCCCGGTGGGCAGTGACAACTCAGGCAACATCTTCAGCCTGCTCAACCTCTCGGCCAAGAAACCTTACTCGGCTGCACTGCTAATGGAATTGGTTCTCTTCCTTCATTGTGAGGGCTGTAGCATTGCTCCCAATCACGTCCCCAGAGAGTACAACACCTGGGCGGATGAATTGACTCATCCTGACTTTGAAGGATTCTCCTTAGATCGCCGGCTACCGGCACCGGAGACTCTCTTCATTTTTCCTTTGCTACAAAACTTCTGTCCTCAACGGGTTTTTCCTAGCTGCCCTCCCCTGGCACCTCGACAGGTGCCCATTGGCCCTGGGAGACCAGGGGACATACGGGTGTTTTGGCAGCGGTGGGCGAATCCTACTGCCTGACACACCCTTGTCCCCCTGGCGAAGTCCAGGGCAGTTTGAAACGGACCAAGTGATACAGGGTCTGGGGGAGGACCCCAGCATCAACCAAAGCGCATTGGAAAAAGCCTGCATGCAGCTTTTTGCGCTCTTGGGATTTGACTTCTGGGTACATATCAGGATGTTTTTTTTGTGAGTACTGAATACTTTTTTCTTTTCTAATCCTCAGGTGGGCTACATCAAGAGGCAGGTCAGAGTCGCGAAAAGTGTGAACTTGAGCTTGAGCCACGCGTGGCACATACGACCATGGCAGGCATCAACCGGCCACATTCCTGCTGGAGAATGTGCAAGGGATCGCAATGAGGAAGAAAGGAGAGGCCAAGGCTAGTCCCGAGTCCTGAGCTGTGCGTGCGTAGTAGCAGAGTGGGAGCAAGCTTGCAGCATTCTCAATCCGCCGTCTACTACGAAAAATGGAGTGAGCGAACAATGGATAGCTGATCACCAGCAAGACATACCAACATTATAATTAGCATTTTTTGGTTTCGCTGGCAGCCTGTACACAAGGTATGGATCATGTCTGCAATAGTTTGGCAGCTTCCTTCTCAGTTTGAGATGGGTAGTGTTGTTGGATTTATAAGGCTGTACCAAGCCCCTTTGCACATAAGCTCTGGTAGAGCCACAGTTCAAGGGACAGTTACTTTTTCACAAGTGAACAAGGGTTCTTGATTGCAAGCCTTCGGGGCACAAAGCGCAGACAAATGCAAGTGAATCTGAGCCAACCTGTAGAACAAAATCAGTTTTGAAACAGGTTTTCATTTAGTCTGATCAACCAATTTCTTATACATCTAATCAATCCGAACATCCTTGGGATACACTCAAGCTACAGCCGGCAACTTGGGTTAGTTGGGATACAATTAAGAAGTCAACTTTTCTCAAACACAGGCTAAATCAGCTTGACTACAAGGGGTTATACATATATTTTGTCTATTTCAGTATAATGAAGTAAGTCTTCGGGTGACTTTAGATATTTTCTTATTTCATGCTGATTCACACAAATAGAACAACCTTGTGTATCAGCCCTGCCTGTGTTCAAGCTGCATGTATTTTCTCAATTGCAGCTTTTAAAGTTCACAGTTGCGAGAAAACACGTACATTAGGACTAGTAACTAGTAGAGCAAACAAGTTCTCAAGTAAAATTGCATTCTTGTTTGATTTTCGTAGGGAGTCAAGTAGCTCTGTAGAGTTCCCAAAGATTTTCGGATCATTTGGAGGAGTCTTGGTTCATCAGACAGCGTCAGGAATCCTTGTTAACTCGTGTACGCAAGGTGTGGAAGAAATGGAGTTCAGCTTCAAGAGCGATTGCACTCTCAATAAAGAGCCTACACACCTTGGGTCCACTGTGCCAACTCGTTTGTCGGGATATCATCCAGCTTAGCCGCGCTTGGCTACTCAAACTTCAGGCACCAATCACAGAGGTCATGGAGATTCTTCGAGCGTTGGACGGCTACGAGGCTTGCGACTTACAACAGCCAGGGCTGTTTTGTGGTTCCTGACATGGGGACTCTGTCCCACACCTCGTTGAGTCTTCCAGGTCTCGTTTGTAAACTGCCATAGGAAGTACTGAGAATGGTTGTGGCCGTTGTGTTTGCTAAGGGTTAGTGGTAATACTCCCTCAAGAAACCAGATATTGTCTCAAACATCAGCTGTCCGTTGAGGTGAAGGGCTGGAAAGTAAATTCATCGGACTATCATTTGCCTCAAAACCGAGTTCGAGCTGCTGGCTCAGCATGTGATTGTCGTTTGGCATTGGTTTGCAATCAGCAGGGTCAGAGAGCATGTCCATTTTCTTCTCCCAGTCAGTATGAGGATGCACCAAGACGTAAAGGCCAGTATGACAAAAACTGTCAGATTTTTGGGCAAGGTACTTGCGTGCGAGAACCTTTCAAGAGCATATAGAAGCGAACCGTCTTGGGACAAACATGTGGATGTCAGATATATTCCGACAGTTGTAATATTTAAGACCTTTGAGTGTCTGTTGCAAGGCCAAAACTGGAATGCTGAACCACCATGCCCACCAGACATCTTAGCTCCAAAGGTCTTGAGAGCCCTACAAAGATTTTGTTCGAAGATCTTATACTATACAGAGATCTTGACAAATCCAAAAGACAAAAGAGTTCGAGAAGGGGTTCTTGCAAAAGGATTTTCAAGAGATTTGCAGAGATTGTCAAGGTATCCAAACCACAACGTTGAAAAGATCTGACCAGAAACAGATCTGATAGAAATGCTACACTGTACAACAGAGATCATGGAAGGGATCATGGAAACATTGTGAGGAGACCTCGCAGAGATGGCATAGGGATCTCTCTCTCTCTCTCTCTCTGTCTTGCACATTTTCTGAAAACAATTTATCAGGTAGTTTTGTCAATACGCTCACTAAAGCTTGGTTAGTGAGTTTTTAAATGGATATCTAGCAGATCTTCAAGAGATTGTGAAGATATATTGTGCAAGAGCTCCCATGAGATTCTGGATCTTGTACAGAAACCCTATGAACTCACGAGTCTTGTGAAAGAGATCTTATCTAGAGAAGCATACACACGAAAAATCTGTGTCGAGTCAAACGTTTGCCCCTAGGACGGTCACAGGCTTACATTTGCTTGAAAAAAATAAAAAACGTAGCCAGCTCTTTGCTGACATCATCAGATTGCATTGCTGTTCGTCCTCGAGCTTGCTGGGGGAGTTACTGTGTGTGTATTGTGTATATGTATAATATGACATGGTATACAGTATACAGTATTAGAGTGCAGTATATAGTCTGCTTGATGGGTAGTGCAACTCCCTCCAAAATATCTTTGTCCGCAAACGCATGGCTTGGAGAATCACTCCAGATGCTGGATCTAAGTTAAGCAACATCTCTCTAGCCTCTGGTATCAAAGTGCTTGTTGCTGTGTAAGGCTTGCGTGCACGCCATGTCCATGCAGCCGTTTGGATTGCCCTCAACAAGTCTTCTGTCACTAGTGGCCACTTTGAACGCAACAGGTAAAGAAACGCTTCCAAGTGATTTGGCCGCTGAGGTGTATATTGTGGGTGTACACCGACGTGCAAAGCTACGCCGACCACTGGATGCGTGGTCCGTGTCGATTCGGGGCATGGCAAAGCGCTCCAAGGTGCCAAAAGGGTAGGACTTCGCCACACCAGAAAGCACCACACTACATCACCTCACCAAGCAGAACAGGACCAGGATTTCTACATTACACTTCACCGCGCTACACCTCAAGTGCCACTTCGGTTGGCAGAGAAATCCCTGGACCCTGTGGACCCTAGTAGCGTCCTTGTTCCTAGTAGCGATGCCCTTTGTTCCTAGTAGCGTCCTTGGTCCTAGTAGTAAGGCCAGGAGCCTGATGACGTCCTGACCCATCGGTAGTAGACTAGAAACCTCTACTTTGGAACATTGGAAGACTTTTCTGTAAAAATTACGAAAGCGACGTTCGAAGAAGGTTTGTGGAAGTCCTCGTTTGCAATCATTGACAGTGTTGCGTTTGAGCTCGATTTCTGATATTGTTCAATCGCAATGGTGTGGGCAACATCGATTAGATTGCCCATGCACACCAGCGCAGATGCACCGTTGGTATTTTAAGCCAGCTAGAAACAATCATCCTTACAGTCTTAAAACCAACAGCGGCCATGAACATGGATACAAACAGTATATACCATGAATAACTCGACCTTGTGCATCTTTTGCACGCAGCATTCAAGTGCGCTCTCAAAGTCCTTCATTTGCCTTACTGAAGTAGGAATTGAAGTATGCAGACTAAAAATCAAGCATGCAGGATGGAGCCCATGCCAGGTGGAACCTGACAGATAAGATTGTTTGGACCATCATATGTTTCTCCTTAAAGAACAGCTTTGTAAAAGGTTCATATGGAAAAGGTGTCAAGGCTTGCTGGCTGCTTGCTGTACGGCCATATGGAAGCCTGCCCGAACAACGGCAGGACTATATATTTGTTTGTTATTCGTCAAAAGTGTATTTTGGAAATCTCCAAAGAAAGGGCCTGGGCACTTTAAGAAGTCACTGTCCTGAGCACGTTGGAGGCCATCGCTATTAGGTTGGAGGCCATCGCTAGTAGGTTGG